TTAATGTAGTCTTCAATCTCTGCACACTCTCTAGCTGCAGCAGTTATCCTGTTCCATATCTCTACTTCCCAAACAGGTAGCTGATACAAACCCAGTCCTTCAGCCTTCTTGAAAGCTCCTCTTGATTTTGCAACTATGAGGGGAATGATCTCTTAAAGGCGATGTTAAGGATCTATTTCTATTTCTGCAAGGGCTGTGCACATCAAAAATAGTGTCCTGGGGATTTTTGCAAGTGTTTGAGAAAGCAGAAGGGGTTGCAGGTTGAGGCCAGCAGCAGTGTCTAAACGGAGCATCTGTGAACACTTGGTGCAGACCTGTTCTCAAGCCTGGTGCAGCAACGAGAAGGGACAGGCACGGAAGAGAAAGCAGAAATTATATGGCTGGCTGAATTTCCTGAAGTGCAGGGAGATTATGCACAGACCTGGAAGAACGGGTTAGGAACAGATACGGGTTATGGCCTGTGTTATATGACCAAAATAAATACGGTTATTACAGGCATGAGAGTAGAGGACTGTGATTCCATTGTGTCTGTTGGGAAGTTTTGTTAAATTTGCAGGAATTGACGGTGTTCACATTTAAATCCAGCCCCATGAGATTTTTTTCAGGCTCTTTGAGTGTACTGAAACTCCCTTATTCCCTGCAGAGCAGTACAGGACAAATGGTAATTGTCTACCTAGAGTTTTACTGCTGTCTGGCTTTAAATAGATGTGCTCAGGATTGTCTGACCCAAAGTAGGCCCAGTTATTTTTTTGTCCTTCCTTTTGTTTTGCAACCTCTTGCAGTGAATTCCGTGTGTTAGGGAAGAAAGATCACTTGAAAACATACATAGTGGCAAACTTCATCCTTTTTATTTCTTTTAATGCTATTGCATTCATGAGACATCCACGCAGAGATAATGGAAGAGAAAAAAAAAATTCGCAAGGGAAATAGATTCTAGTTTAAGCTTCCAGGGGATTATTATAAACAGGGAGAAAAAATATTTTAAGGATTATGAGAAGTACCTTGTCAGTGTCCTTTTAAGTAGAACAACTACTAATGCATTAGTTACAGAATTGTGTGAAATGTAGCTTTTTACTAAGTGCTTTAGCTATGGTATATTCATCTTATAATCAGTGTCCTAAATGGTACATTACATATCCTCCCTTTTCCATCTCCCCTCCCTCCAACAAAAAAAAAGTTTTATTGTAGACCACGTTCTTCCATGGATGATCAAGAAAATTCTGTACACAGAACAGTGTCTGATGTTACAAACATGCGCTTCTTCCTTTATAAGCATTTGGAGAAACTGTCTATCACCTTGTGTAACGTCAGGGCATAAAGACCTTGTCTAGCGACATCTGTCACAGCGATCATCAGGGAGGGAGCGGTGTCCACAGGGCTGCCACGCTCCCGGACGCAGGGCAGGGTAGGCAGGATCTCTGCACAACGGGCAAAACAGCCGTTTGGGCGAAGGAGGGGGAACAGCATGTGCCAGCTACGCTTCTCATCTGGAGTAAGGAATGGGCTGGGGATCCCACTGTGCTTCAGTCGTGCGCGGGCAGCCCTCGCTCACGCTATGACAAAGCTGCAATGTAGTCAGCCTTCATTTACCGCTTACGGGGCTTTAGCAGCAGCTTTATTGTAAGATCTGTCAGTAGTCTACTTTTGTAAGCCGGGCAAGTGCGGTGCAGCCTCGCACTTGTGGTTCAAACAATAATTAAACTCGTGTCAGGTTGCCACTGCAAATTTCAGGAGTCAAGAGGAAGGAGGTGCTCTCCGGGGATGCTCCTGGGCTGGGCCGTGCGCTCCACTTTTGTGAGATACCGACTGTTTGGGGCTGTTAAAGTTGCAGGGGTGGTAATGTGGTACAAGACATTGTAGGCACCAAAGATGTAAAAAAAAAAAAGGAATTAAAAAAAATAGTGAGAAGAGGCTGAGGCACTGAAATTTGGTACAATTTCTGTTTATTACTTTCCAATAAAAACTCTGATTTTTATCACTTGTTATTCTTCTTTCTTGCTATTCTCTTTCTAGGTAATAGGAGATAATATTCTAAGTTTTCTTTATAAATTCCCGTGTGAGATTTTAGGAGTAGATTCAAACCTCAAACATCACAGCTAGTGCCCCTAAATGTCCACATACGATAATTTTTTTTTTTTAATTTTTTTTTTATGGGTACTGATTCCAAATGAAAAGACCATAGAGGCATTTTGGGGAAGAAAAGTCACTTGAGGAAGGACAATTTTGTTAACATGAAGTGCTGGAGGATCTGTTTCCACCTAGGAATTAAGTTTAATTTCAAGTTAGAAGAGAGCACTGGGGAAAAAAGGAGAATAAAATCTCTACTATTTTTATATTTTCATTATTCCCTCTGAGATCATGGTTTTTATGTGAACAGTCACAGCAGAAATGTAATTTTTGCTTTCAGTTATTTTTGTTATTGCAAACCACTGCTTCTGTCAAAAGTATGTACTTAATTTTAAATGTGAATACTAAACTTAATCAATATTAAATAAACATCTTGTCTCTAATTAACAGCTCTTTGAAACATCGTAGATCTTGTTCCTCCTCTTTTGTACACTCCCAGCAGAATTTTCAAATTTCATTAATAACACTTGACATAACCTAACTCAGCTGCTTGTGAATATAGTCAGCCGCCCTTGTGTCGTACAGCTTTCCCTGCTGAAAAATTTGGTTTATTTTAAAGCTGAATTGTGTAGATTTCTGATACACTTTGGATTGTGACTGCAACTGTGAATAATCCTTATCATGTTGTCAGTGTCTGAGCTGGTTTGGGGTTTTTTTGCTTTAGTTAGTTTATAAAAAGTGTGACTTTGACAAGATACAGTTTCTAGTTAACTTCTAGTTAGTGCATATTTTAACTAGCTTCTTACTCTAATTTTTTTCTCATATATATTTTCTTAAACTGATTTTTCACAATTTGTGGTTTTAAAAATATTAGAGTCTTTTAAAAGAGATTTATATTTATTTCCTCAGTACTCAAATTATCTTGAGTATTCGAATAGAACATAGAGCAAATTTTGTTCCATAAACATTTGACCTCTAGAGCTATATAAGGTTTTTCACAATAGAAAAAAAGTATGGTATAGGAAAGAGGTTTTTTCCTCTGTCAAAGGGGGAATAAAAGCGTGGCCAGTAATGATTGTGTGCGTTTAATGAAAAGCTTGGTCTTATATTTATGCCAGAAGTGCACACAAATGGGCACCTGCAGGCAAGGCAGGCACTTCATCAAACGCGTTCCTTCTCGAAAGGCTCCCGTCTTGCAAACACCAGCCAGAAGGTGGATGGGTAGGTAGTCTGCAGGTAGGTGGGTGGTAGATTGATAGGTAGAGGTTCATCAGAGCAAAACAATGGAAGTAATGATGATGATAAGTGGTATTGTCCTTTTAAATGAATAAATTGTAACCTCACAATGTCTAATGTTCTCTATAGCTGCCTTCCTTTTTAAAGTATATTTCCCTCCCTTCTAAAGCTACTAAATATTTCATCCTTCTTATGGAGATAATTTGGGAGTTTACAATTTCCAACAATTGTGCATATGGGACAATTCTTCTATACCATGCCATATATTTTCGTATATGAATGAATCATTAACCCTCAGTGTTATGAGAGAAGCGTTATGCTGACTGGGAGTGACAGATTAAGCTCATCTCAGGTATTAATGCTGTCAGTAAAACTTGTTTGGAAAGCAAAAAAGATTAAAACCAAATTTCATCCTTTCTGTGATTCAAACGTACATGTGAAACTTTCATACATTTCCCATAAGATGGCCAAATACACAAGAGCGTGGCCAGATGTTTTTCTGTTCTCCTCTCCTGGCGTTTCCTTTGAACACAGACTGAGCTGATTGTGTGCTCCTAAGTTCTGTGATTTTCTGATTTAACCTTTTAGCTGCTCAGTATAGGTCTGTTGCTTTTTTCCTGCAAACCTCGTCCTTCTAAGAAGTCCTCCATGCAGGAGTTCCTGGGCTAAATTCTCTGCTGACCTCACCACGAATATATCAACTTCCGAGTTTCAGTGTCTGATGATCTTTGATGGGTCCAGAACAAGTGATTTTGTTTTAGTCTTAAATAGAAATGAACATTGTTACTTGAACTGGACACCGACCAGAGGAGTAACTTAACATTTGGTTAACAGTAAATAGCACTGTATGCAACTGGAAAGGGGGGGGTGTGTAGCTGCCCTCCCAGAAGAATCTTATCAGAACTTATTTTATCTAAAAACTTGAACCTCAATAAAGATATTAGAGGCAGCAGCAGCTACAGGCAGAACCTGGACCTGAGGGGTACTCTGTGCAGTGGGAGGCAACACACAGAAGCAGCGCTTGGGCAGCTGGGGCCAAATCGCAAATAAAATGTGTATCATGGGAAAACAAAAGCTGGAATTTCCCTGTGTCACTCTCCCAGTCCTCCCAGATATTCCCCACATCCTACGAGTCTCCTCCGAGCTGCCCCCACGCAAAACGCGGCCGGCTGCCTGTGGCTGTCCTTGACCCGCACAGTGTGAGATTCCGGGGGGCTGGTTTCAGCTGGAATATTGTGTTCCTGTGCGGCCACATTAGCCTGTAAACTCTTGCACCCGTGTCTTACCTGTCTCTAAAGATCCCCAAGTACTTCTGGCGTTGTATAAATGGTAAATAACTTAATTCCTCTGACCTCAGCAACACGTGCGTTTGACACTTGTCGTGGTGGGCTCTGTCTAGGACAACCTTGGTTCTCGCTTTATCGCATGCCAAAGAGAGTGCAAAGTCCTCTGCGTGTCGGACTAGACCTGCTGGTTTTCCTTAATGACTTAAAAAGTAGGGATAAAATAGACGGCTTTGTATGCCGTTTCTCAGCCCCAGTGAAATACGCAGCTCTATTTCACTGTACGTGCTAGTAGTATACAGCTGGTAGTTCCCATGTGCAGGTAGTGGTAGTTACTGTCTGGAGTCACAGCAACGTACTATATTACTAAATCTGTAACATTACTTAAAACGATTGCATGTATATTCTTTTCAGATTCTGATTGCCAGTGTCATGTGCAGCTATAGTAGGGAGGACTGGACTGAACTCTCAAAAATGGCTGAGGTAATGGTTTCCTAAATGTGTTTCTGCATCTTTTTTTATTCTCCTTAAAAACAAGAGCTGCAATAAGGAATTTTTTGAAAAAAAAAGATTCAAAGTGAAAAATGAGAATTTAAAGCGTGTCCATTATAATTTGTTTGTTCTGTGTTTTCATTAAAATGATGGAAATGTAAATTTAAAGGAAATCTGTTCCATAAAAATGGTCCCTTGGATTTTTAAGCAGTACCTGGAAAGCCTTTAGTCTTTGAATCTATATACTTTTTATTTGCATTTTAAGCAAACTGTATATTATGACGGATGCCCTGATAAAATTTAATTCTACCTTTGAGAGCCTAACTTGATCTTACCTTGCCTACAGGCACACTAGTTTGACAGCACCAGAAGAAATTTTGAATATAAAACTCTTGAATATTTAAAGTATAAAAGGCTCATTTAATGCTATTCTAGTTTTAATACAGACTTTCAAAAATGATAGCAGAGAAAGCCAGCATATATAATAGCAGTCAGCAGGCTTCCTATAATATAAATCCAATTTTACACAAATGCAAACAGACTATGCACCTGAAATTTTGATTCAGTTTGAAGGAAAAAAACTGTTTAAAAACATGTACCTGTGTCCATAGGGAATAGTATAAGAAATACCTGATTAAGACCACAGTAATTTCATTCAGAAAGGTGTCTATATCTGAATGCAATACAAAGTTGTTGTTTTTAAATAAAACCAGTTTTTTTTCCACATAAAGTATCTAGAGGAAATAAAAAGCATAGTTTCAGATCAATAAAGGAAGGTTTTAACAAATTTAAACAAATTTTTAAAAGTTACGTGGTCATTATTGCTAGTATTAGCTCAGAGGTAAATATTTTAGAAGTATTATGTATTTCTTTTTTGTACATACATTTTATATATGTGTAGATATGGGTGGGGATATTTTGAATTTGTGTTTTCATGTGGCTGAACATTTATGTTTGGACATCGTCGTTTCTTTATTCACAGTGTCCTAAGCCTTCCTATGGTGACATGGGAAGACACTTCTCCATTTTCTTTGGCCGTTTTAAACCTATGAGGAAAATAATCAGTTTGGGGACTTAGGGAAGTGAAATTAAACTTTATTAGTAATTAGCTTGGTGATCACCAACACTAGTCCATTGTATACCTGTATTTACCTAATTGACCATGAAATCTTTTGTGGAACCCGTGCTTGAGAGGAGCAGTACCACTTTTAACCTGACTAAGATGAATGGCTTCATCGTGCCATTTGCTCCTTTGTTTTTAATCCAGCGGTGCTGCTATCCAACTTTAAGGCAGATATTTCCAATCTGTGTTTGTATTTGTATTAACCCTTTAGAAAAAAAAAGTAGTTATTTAAATGCACTCAATAATCTGTACTGTATGCGACAGAGCTTTCTTCCACAAAGTAGTTGTTAGTCTCCGCTCTGTGGAGAGCAGCATGCTTGTTTGGGGCGCTCTGGAGTCTGCAGCTGAAGAGCGTTGATATTTAATCGCATGCGTAGGATCCTACCTAGAAGGTAATAGATGTGGCTTTCCAAAGAGCAGGCGCCCCAGAAGGTACTGCGGTGCCTCTCGGCAGGAGGACGACCTATTCATACGAAAGGTCAGCTTGTCACAGAGGCCGACAGCACCAGCATCGGCGCGGCACGGCCGGGCTTGCAGAGCTGGCCAGGACGCGGAGGATTCCTGAAAGTGATGGATGGCTTCTCCCCACTCACGCGCTTGGAGAGCTGCTTAACCATGTCCACGCAGCAGGCAAAGTTACTCCAGTTCAATAAGCAGCACCAAAATGCAAATGCAAAACCAAATACTAGTTACAGCCACGTGGAAGGCACCGGGAGAGATCCTCGTCTCGGGCTGGAGCAGTTGAGCAGGGAGGGAGAGGAGCGTGTGTGTTTGCTGCCCTTGCGCACCTCGGCTCCTTTGCCTTTTGAATTGTGGCTAATAGAGGGTGCTGAAGAGAAATTAGCATGAATAATGTGTTTGTATAGACATTTTTTAATACTCTCTTGTTTGACTTCCGAAACAAAAATATTTAATGATAAAAGCTATGGCATAGTACAGGTGCCTGCAGAAAATTAAGAGACTAAATTCATTAAAGCAGAAGGGAGAAATTTACTACTGAGTGACAGTTCTTCAGAGCACAGAAGCACCTACGTATGCCGACTACCAGACCTTGCTCTCAGTGCTGCCCTAAGGCCCTGTAATTACATTTCATTTTTTAACATTTTCCAGAACCAACTCCTTATTGTGCTTGTCTCTTTTTAATTTACTTTTTACTTTCATTTCCTTTGTAATTTTGGGAAGCCACATCAGTTTTTGAAATTTTTCTCTGCGATGATCAACACATTTCTTTTTTTAGGCTATCATAACCTTAGCTTTCTCTCTTAAAAAAAAAAAAAAAAAAAAAAGAAAAGAAAAGAAAAGAAAAATCAAATGTCTAAAGAAATCTATTTAACATGAACAGTAAATGCTACAGGAAAGAGTACATTACTTGAAGTTAATTTTGCATTTTTTTTCCTTTTGCATGTTTCATAGGTTGCTGGAGCAGATGCACTGGAATTAAATTTATCATGTCCTCATGGTATGGGGGAGAGAGGCATGGGCCTGGCCTGTGGGCAGGTAGGACTGGAACTGCAATCTCTTTCATGTCTCTTCAACAGTTCTGCACTACCACATTGCTAGTTACACCTTGGGGGAAAGACACAAGCAGCAGATTATGAGCTTGAGATTTTTAGGTTGAATGCGTTTAAATATTTAGTGCTGAAAGCAAAAAAGAAAAAAAAAAAGACGACAGAAGCTGAGAAGATACAAAATACTTAGTTTAGCTGAGAACAAAAATGTATTATGTATTTGACAAGGAACAAGATGAAAACAAATAATTTCCAAAAAGTGCTTGGACAGAATTTGTTGGTTTTCATGTCAGTGCCCTGTAGATATCTTTTAGATCACAACCTGGTAACTACTGCATATATCAATAATGATTTTGAAGGACATGAGATATACACACATTTAATTTCACAATTTTTAGCATATGAACCTTAACTGTATTTTAGAATCACAGAATAGGGCATGCATTCTGGTAGTGCCACCTACAGTTAAGGTCTTCTCTGATAAGAGCCTGTGTTCTGTAGCCTATAGATGTGATGGTTTATACAGCTTAGGTTGGAACTAGCTGTGCCTGATGTCTCTGCCGTGTAGAAATCTAATGCAGTTTATCAGTGCATCCCATCACTTCAGTTAGGAGGATGTGTGTTGTTTTGCCCACAAAAAGAAAATAAACATGCAATTAATATCCTTTTGAAGTTTTCAGATTTTTGCATGTTTTGGTCATGGTTTGAAATTTCTTTTGGCTCTGAAACATGCCCAAATGTGGTGAACTTGGAAGTATCTGAAAAATCTTGGTTGACAGGCTACTGGGAGAAATTTTGTAGAGTCTGACCATCAAAGTTTCAGAAGTCTGAAGGCTATTTGATTTCCCATCTTTACTACATTTTGGGGAGAGGGAAAAAGAAGAGGAGCGAGATGTAGAGAGGGAATCGTGATTACATGCCCTAAAATTGACACATACTATTCAGTTGATCCCCATGGAGAGGACTAATAGACTTCTTAATTCATCCTCACTTCCTCAGTTAAACACAAAACTTTCAAGAACTGATGTGGAGTTGGACAACTAAACCATTAACTTTCTAAAACTTTTAGTAGGGAGGCAGTAGGAGCTGTCATTGTTTTGGTGCACCTGTGGACACACTTCAGGTGTAGCTTTATCATAGCAATACTGTCAGGCACAGTGCACGGGACATTTTATTATTTTTTGTGAACAAAATGATGTCAATCTGTTCCATGCTATAGATTATTATTTTTCATGAAAGTAATCTGGATGCTTTTCATGGCCAGTGGTCATTCACCAAAGTTATGATTAAAAATGGGAGACAATTATAAAAACCCTCCAGGACCACACTAGCAAAATGGTTATAGTTATTATTAATTTTTTCCCTGATTTGCATTCAGCAACAAAGAACTATAGTAGCTTTTTTATAAGTGTATGAAGCAATTCCCAGCCTTCACTCTGCGGGGCGGAGCTCAGTAGTTTGGGTTGTCCCACCTGAGATGGCAGCATGCTGTAGAAGGGTGCGGTTTGGTGAGGGAGAGTGCTGAAGGTTTCACACGGAAGCTGAAACAGGCTCCTTTCAAGCATGCTTTTTTTTTCTTTTTTCTTTTTTTTTTTTCTTTTTTGTAGGCATATGTTATTTCCAGCTTTCACTGGTTGGAATAATATATGCATGTGAAGTTGCTTAGATGTGTAGTCAGTAGGGAGCTGTCTGGCTACATGAGTTTTTACATATCTTTCAGCTATTGTAAAATCAGAGAACCAAATGCAAAATCTGAGCACTCAGGGCTATCATGTGGATTTGTGACTCTCCTTGGAGGACATCAGATCTATAAAGCAAGAAGAAGATTACATTATATATACATATATGTTTGTATAATAATAAAATTTCTCTCTTCCCCATACAATATGGATATTCTTTTGAATGTTTAATATATACTACTCTTGCTTAGATAGTCTTGTGTTTTCTTAACTGTCTCACCAAAATGAGAGCTCAGAAAAAAATCTACTTCTTTAGACAAATAAATAAATAAAACAAGCCATCTTTAGAGGGTCGCATCCTGAGGTTCTTCCTCAAAGTTAGCTAAAATTAAATTACAGTGGCTTTAAATGTGGTTTATCGAAGCAAAAGGTGAGGATAAACTGGATAAAGTAATGATACGTGCAACGAGATTCATCAGGGGCTTCCGCGTGTGGTGTTCCCTGGAGGCCCCATCATAAGACAGGAAAGCGCTAGGAAATATTTTCGCTTTAGTCCTAGGTTTTTGTTGGTTTTTCTCCCCAGAGCTGAAGTCAAATAGGTCATCCATAGGTGACGTGGGGAAGAGAAGGCTCAGATATTCTCTGGAAAAAAAACACCACTCGATATGTAGAAGTCAGGGCATGAGGCTTTGAGAGACAGAGCAGCTTTCTTGGTTGTAGAGTGAAGCAGGTTTTCTTAAATATTTTTGATAACATAATCCATGTCTTCATAGGAAATTTTTTTAAGGATTAGGTCCTTTTTCATGCCTAAGCACATTAAATCCCCAGGAAACTACAGAAATTGCTGAGATGAAAAATAATGGTAGAAAAACATGTATGTGTATCTTTACTATTTATAATGTCTAAAATGTTCTGCCTTTTTTTGTTGTTTAAAAAAAAAAAAAAGGGAAAAGAAAGGTTAATTACACTGTCTACTTTTTCTCCTCATTTCAATTCCTATGGTGTGCCTAAGGGTAAGAGTAGAAATCTGGGAACATCAGATTCGTTTCTCCTCTATCCTATTCTGTTATCTAGTCTCAAACACTTCCAATGTTTTATACCCACTGTAAATTTTAAAAATTCCCAATATATCCAAATTATATAAATGAAGAATTGGTACTAAGCATGCCTGTTTGTTTTATACTGAATTACAGTTCTCAGCTTTTATTTGATTTTAATTCCAAGTCATTAGTGCAGACACTCTGGCGCCCAAACAGCGTAGCTAGCCAGAGGGTAATATTAAGAGGCATCTGTATTGCTGCCAATAAGTTACTTAAAGCTGGTTCTGTATAAAATGTCAATTATATTTACTAATGCTGATTAATGATAATGAAGTTAAGGTTTGTATTCTTTCATAACACTCTGCAACTGTATAAAAGTTGGATATCATTAAAAATTGTAGCAGAATTTCCATCATCAGGTTTAACAGCATTAATGCATGGATTTTCTTTGAATCAGGTAACGTAAGTGTGCAAAACATTTACTAGTAAACATAAAGACAACATGGTGAGCAGCAGATTATTAAAAAACAGTATCATTTTCCCACTATAGTTCATTACTGTAGTAATTATAGCATAAAATCATGAAAATAATCAATCAATCATCTGAGATGGTAGCACTCACATTTCAATGTCTAACTTATAGTGGTGTATTTGTGGGGCACTTTTGGTCTCTTCACTGGAAAACATGCAAAGATGTTTTAATTTTATTTTTTTTTAATTTATCCTTCTAAAAAGTGGCATTAAATATTCAGAACCATTACTGTGATGTGAAATCAATGAATTTAAGTGTTTGGCTTTTTGGTTTTGGTCCAAAAGTCAACAAGTCTCTCCAGCTGCTCTGGTGAGCATGAATAAATAGTTGATTTGAGTCAATAATCTGGGTTTTATTTAAAAAAAAGTTTTGTGTCATTCTTTGTTGTTCAGATGAAACCCCAGGTCTAGTAAGCGTAATCTGCATATACCTAGAATTATTAGAATAAGACCAACTGGGACGAGTGATATCCAATGTCTTCAAAAATCTCAGTGAGTCTACTTGGACTAATGGGGAGTGAAAAACAATGGAGGGAGGAAAAGAGCAGCCTACACCTGCTTGAAAGGTAGTAACAAAGATGCTGGAAGGGTAGCTACGAAGCGGGAAAGATGATTCTCTGTGGTATCAGATGATAGAGCAAGGGGAAATGGCCACAAATTGTGGGCTGAACTTTTCAGGGTGGGCATCAGGAGAAAAATTCACCGAGAGGGGATGCAGCAGAGGAACCTGTTGTCTAGCAGGGCTGTGTACTCTGCATCTCTGGAGTTTTCAGGGCTGGGGCAGGCAAAGCCCCTGCATCGACTGGTGCTGGCGCTCGTCCCACTCAGAGCCGCAGCTTGGTCTAGCTGCCCTCCAGAAGTCCATTTAGACTTTTGGTGGTTCTGTGGATTCGCCCTGTTCAGTTCCTGTCCAAAGGTGCTGCATTGTTTATACCAGAGATAGGAAAGGAGTAGCGGATAGGAGGAAGCACAAGGACTCACCTGTTCACTTGGTGTGAGATGATCAGTATGATAGAGAGATCTCAAGTCAAAAGCAACACATTAGTTAAATTTCCAAAGCACAGGGGATGCTTCTATACTTTTTAAAAAAACAAATCCCATATTCAAAGATCTCAGCTTAAGTGCAAGAACAGATATTCTTTATGCTATAAGCAAATATTTTAAAAGCTAATAACATCCTGGCTTATAAATATTTCTCATTAATTAGTCATACCTTCTAACCTCCAAAATATAAAAAAATCTTTGCCTATCTCAGCATTTAAGCTATAGGTTTGGGGGTTTGTTTGGTTTTTTAGTTTATATTGAAGGAAGTGTGTGTATGTCTCTTGTGAGCACTGAAATTCAGATCCTGGTGGTTTAACTCTTCAGATCATATGTAAAATGAACTTGCTTTGTGGTTCTTTTCTTATCTTTGTTTTCATTTTACGTAAACTGTACTTGCTACAGCCTCTGCTGCTGGCTGTGTTCATGTTTATTGCCTGCAATTAGGAGACAAGTTTTATAAAAGCCCACATTGCCTCATTCAGAAGACGACAAATCTGTTAGAAACAAAACAGAAAAAAAAAACCCAGCAAAAGCCCTGGTTACTCTGCGAGATGAGAACTGGCTGCATGGCACAATTAGATTTGCTCTGCTGTACCTTGGAAATAGGAAAGATGAGGCTGCTTTTTAATTGAAGTGCACAGCATAGCATGCTAATTTGCCGTTGCTCTGCCAGCAAGGAGCTTGAAGTATTTTAA